AAAGAAAGAAAGAAAGAAAGAAAGAAAGAAAGAAAGAAAGAAAGAAAGAAAGAAAGAAAGAAAGAAAGAAAGAAAAGAAAAGAAAGAAGGAAAGAAAGAGAGAGAGAAAGAAAAATCCAGTCTGCAGTTTGCTCTGCAGACCCGGATTGACAGACAGAGGTGGCTTGGAGCATCTCTTTCCAGATGGCAAGGCAAAACTCCAGCCTTCTGAGACTCTGTCATGCTTCTCTGACCCAAAAATGTACAAGAGGACTTCCAAAGTGTTGCCTCTCGAGGTGTGAGACTCACAAACGCCCCCACTTCCCCCTCCTCCTGGAAAGCCCCGCGCCCACAATGTCCCATTCCTCTAAAAAAGTCTGAAAAGACCTGAGCACTCTCTGCATTCTCGCTCCCTTTTAAGCAGCATAATTCCCTCCCATCCTCTCCGGGCTAGTCAAAACAAAAGGCAGGAGAAGGGTGCCTGGCAACCGCTACTTCCTGCCGCGCCACACAAAAGCACCCAATGCAGGCTGGAACACAAAGGCCCGGCTGGCTCATTTCTGGGATGGGGGGAGGTAAACACACTGCAGTTGTGATGTAGAAAGACAAATTGATGTTTTCTTTCTGGGGGAAAAAAATTCCCCGAAATCTCTACCCGCTGCCCCTCTGAGTGGGCTAGGTCTGGGAGTTCCAGGATGTCATGTGCCCTACCTCAACTTGCCAGTTAGTTGAAAGGGGTCTCCTCTGGATGTCTCCAGGGATAAGCTGGGGCGCCTGGGCCTGCGAGAGAGGAACGGAGTTCCTGGCAAGGGTGCCAACCCCATCACTCACTGTACTGGCATCTTGGAATCGTCCTACGTTAATGAAGCCTCTACTAAACCTTATAGTTTGGGGAGCAATGTTTGATTTAAAAGAACAAGGGCGGGAGAAAGGTTAATTTCAGACACACATGAGCCTGGTTGTTTAACCAGAGATTCTTTGGAAATTCTCAGACACTCAGAAGGAGGAATTGCGCAGAGCAGGGTCTGTGAAAGTCCTTCAAATCAATGTGGAGTCACATGCATCAAACAGCACGTGAGAAAGGGGAGGGGAGGGGGAGGGTGAAGAGACAAGAAGAGGGAGAAGAGGGAGGAGAAGAAGAAGAGGAGGAGGAGGGAAAGGAGGAAAGGAGGAGGGAGAGGAGGACGACAAGGACGATGATGAGGACAACAACCACCCTGAGTAGTTTTGGAGGAGGAGACCTCAGGCCTGGGCACCTGATTCTAAGAACCATCACAAAAATCAGAAACACAGCCTTGCACAAAGACTACTCCTGCAGGACTCCCTCGCTTTGGACAGATGCTACTCTTGATACTGATCCTTATAGCCAAGGATGACAGTTCCGAAGCCCCGTCTACAGTCTTCCTCGGCTTACCTTTGCAATTACTTGTTCTCTTTTGCCCCTTGGAATGTGCCCTTAATTTATGAAGGCCGCAGTATTCCTTCCCCTTGACATTTATAAATATAGTTTTGTTTCTTGAGACAGAGTCTTCAATTGCTGGGGATGTCTTTCTGCATGCTGTGAATGTGTGTTGCTCTGATTTGGTTGATAAATAAAATGCTGATTGGCCAGTAGCCAGGCAAGAAGTATAGTATAGGAGGGATAAGGAGAGAGGAGAATTCTGGGAATAGGAAGGCTGAGTTAGGAGTTGCCAATCAGACACAGAGGAAGCAAGATGTAAAGGCAGAAAGGTGAGAAAGTGTACCAAGCCATGTGGCTAAACATAAATAAGAATTATGGGTTAATTTAAATGTAAGAGCTAGTCAATAGCCTGAGCTAATGGCCAAGTGGTTTTAATTAATATAAGCCTCTGTGTGTTTACTTGGTTCCAAGTGGCCACAGGGCCACGGGAGCTGGGTAGGACCAGGAAGACTTCAGCTACATCCAATAGCTCATGCTGACCTTGAACTCTCTCTATCTAGCTGAGGATAACCTTAGATTCATGACCTTCCTGCTTCCACCTCCTACATGCTGAGATCACAGACATGCCACCATTCCTGGCTCCAAATAAGCTCCAAATATTTAGAGAATTTCTATTATTTAGTACCAAATTGTGTCCCCATCAACCCTATACCTCAAAGTTCTAACTCCCAAGATCTCAGAGTGTAACCATATTATAGAGTCACCTCATAAGCACTGTGATTAGTTAGGGGAGTAGTAGAGTGAGATGCCTCTCTCATGAAGCATGATAGTGTTCTTAGATGGCAAAGGCCAGGAACAGAGCCATCCTAGAAACTTCTGAGGGTATGTGGCCTTGACAGTACCTTGATCTTAGAGTTATAGCCTCTAGTACTTTGAGACAATAAATATTCATTGTTTATTAAACAGTTTTTATAGGTGTGTATTAATTATACATGATACTGGATTTCATTGTATTTTCACATGTGTATTGTTAATCCCACAGATTCAAGGAGAAAGGCCACCAACTCATATTATGGTCAAATTAACGAAAGTGAGCTTTTTATAAATCTGTGTACACAGACTGTCTCCTGCTAAGGCAGGATTCAAGAGATCAACATTGGACATGGGGAAGACAAGGGTTTTTGCAGCTCAGGTGTAGGGAGGTTCCAAATGAGGGATTTAGCAGGCAAATAGGAGGGGTTACAGGAACAGCACATAGGCATAAGGAGTTGGTCAGAACAACCGTTTGAAACAAAGACATGGTTGCCATTTCCTGGAACACGCAATACAGAACCGATGGTAGTTAAGGTCACAGGTGGGGCAAAGCCCAATCCTTGAGAAACAGACTTAGTCATAAACAGGAATGAATCTGGTTCATTTTTACTCTAAGATGGCTTTCAAGCTCAAGATGGCGTCAGGTTGGTTTATCAGTGTTGGAATATATTCACTCTCCGTTTCCCTCTCCCATCCCCCTCCCTCACTGCCCTTCTTCCTCATTAGCCTCCCTTCTGCTTCCAAAGCTGGCTGGTGTGGGCGCTTGTATGCTCTCCTCCCTCCCTGCAATGAGTTCACTTCAGGTTACTTGCAACAATATGGACGAAGGGTTAAATAAATACAAGAGCCTGGACAGCTTACCAGGGGCCGCGCCACTGAAGAAATTGTCTCTCCTTCCCCCAGTGTCCATTAACTGCCCATGGATCCTCGGGGATGGGTGGGGCTTCAGGATCTCCACTTCCCTGGCAACTGTTAACTGCCTGTATGCATACCCAGGGAGGGGCGAGGCTTTGCGGGCCCCTCCCCGCTCCATGACAAGATGTTGATGGGGGGGCCCAATATTGAGGAGCCCTTGTCCAGGTAAAGACTGTAAATTTCTACTGTTGAAGTGACTCAGTGTGTAGCACTTTGTTGGGGGCATTTCTTAGAAACTAGAATTTCTAAGAAATGTCATCCATTGATGTAATTCTGGCTGCGGACATCTGTCACTATGGGACAACCTACTTAATTCACACTTGTTCCCACCTAGGACCTACAGTGGCTTATTTTTCGTTGATCTCTACCGGGAACGTTTCCCACCCTGAGCTCCAACAAGCCAGTCTGTAAGTCAGGAAGCATTAGCACCTTGGAATACAGTAGCTTTTGTATTCCTAGAAATGGGTTATTTTTCTTTTTTAAAGAAACGAGTTAGAGCCTAAGCTAGTGATCTTAAAGACCAGTCCTGTGTGTTTCCCTTCATCACCTTCTCCTGTGATGTACAGCAGAACTGCTTCAGCAAGGTTGGTTTTGTATTCTCGTCTGACATTTTTGTCAATATTTTACTTAGCATTGCCCAAGGGTTCTGAAGCACTGTATAATAATTCTTTTTAAAGTATTTCAAAGTATCTGGATGTGCTAGTTCACATCTGTAATCCCACTACTCAGGAGGGAGAGTTAAAAGGACTAGGAATTTCAGCTCACCTTCAGTGACACAGTGAGTTCAAGGTCAGCCTGTGCTACTTGAGACTCTCACTGGAAAACAATCCACAGATCTTCTCCTTATCAGCCAAGACTCAGGGAAGTCCTTACTTAGGAGCCAGATGTGGAGACACATGCCTATAATCCCAGCACTTGGAAGGCCAAGACTGGAGGATTGAGGGTTGCCAAAGATTCCAGACCAGTTTAGCCTATATAGTGAGTGCCTGGCCATGCAGGACTACAGAGTGAGGTCTTGTCCCCAAAGGATAGAAAAATAGAAAAATGAAATCCTCACTCAGCTTCATTGATTGATTATACAAGAGTTAAGTTTTAATTTATTTTATTTTTTTAATTAGTAATTTGATGAAGATACAGTTCAGTGGTGGGATACTTGCTGAGCATGTGCAAGGCCCTGGGTTTGATCCCCAGCACCAAAAACAAACAAACAAACAAAATGACCTTCAATTTTATGGGTTGAAATTTGTTTTATGTTGTAGAATATTATTTTAGGAACTGTTACAGTTGTTTATGTTGTTTTTAAAAAATAATAGTGGCACTGTTACTGGGTGAAAAAGTCAGGAGACACAACAAAACCCAGTATCAGAGCTTTACAAGGGGAGGATGAAAGAGAGTAACCAGGCCCAGGGGGGAGACAAGCATGGAGAGAGAAAGAGAGAGGGGCGGGGGAGGAGAGTACAGAGAGAAGAGACGGGAGGATTCTCTGCCCGGCTTTGCAAGGATTCCCCTGCTCATGCGCAGGTAGGCTTACAGAGCTACGCCATGCGTGCGCTGATTGTGTGACCGGGCTGCGAGCATGTGTGAGATCACACAGAGCACTGATGACGTAGGATGTAAGACCCCTTACTTAGCTACTGAACTGCGCGTGTGCGGCCATGCAGCTGGAGTGGCAGAATTCTAACAGTACACACCCACAATATAATCTTTCTCACTGCTGATATCCTGTACCCGAGTGGCATCTTTGTTATGTTAGACAAATCAGCACCATCGTATCAGTGACACCAGAAGGCAGGTTATACTGGCGCTCCCTCCAGGTGGCACATTCTCTGGACCCAGGTCAAGGTCGAAATCCTGCCTCTTCATCATAGTGTCACATTCAACAGTACCATTCTCCCAGACATCTCCATGCTCTGCCTATTCCCATTTCTCCTTCCTTACAACCCCTGGCAACCCCTGAACCCTTTACTATCTCCTTAGTTTTTGTCCTTTCTAAAATGACACAGGGTTTGAATCGTATCGTACATACATGACGATTTCATACATGTCAGTGAGCCTTTTCAAATGGCTTTTTCCCCCTAACAGTGGGTTTCCTCCTGACCCTCGCTGGATCCATGCTTCTTCACATATTTCGGTATGAGGTGGGGGTTGGACCTACCTGCCCCTCCTGTAAAGCTGAGGCCTCAAGCTCATCTCATGCTAAGCCTCCTCCCTGCTTTGCATCTAGCATCAATCAAAACCTGTAGAACGAGAACTCAGAAAAGAAAAGACAGCCACAGAGTACAGTCATGCTATTATTTAAATTAAAAAAATGAGCCTAAGCATTTCCTTGGGAGGGGGGAGGCGGGATGAGTGTTATCAACTGCTTATGTGGCAGATGTAATGTACAAGTTGAATCTATAATTCATATTTTAATTAACATATTTAAATAACATATACATTATGCAGTACTTTGTCAGGGGAAACAGACTTTGGACTATTTAATTTATGATGAAAATCTATGGTCTGTCATGATGCTCAAAAGTTAAAGGTGTTTGCTGACATGCCTGTGGACTTCAGCTTGATATCTGGAACCCATGTGATGGGAAGAGAATGAGTGTGCATACACCCAGGCCCTACAAAATAGATAAATGTTGATCTTTAAAATGTTGCCTAATTTTTAATTACTATTATTGTTATTTTATTATTTTTTATATTATTATTATTATTTTAGATATCAGCTTTAAAATGCCCAAAAAGGCACAGAGTTTTTCAAAATTCTTTTCTAGTGTTCTTGAGCAGAATTTTTAGGACCACTGTCTAGAAGAGACTGAGCTAAGGAACTGAGCTGACTTCACCTCACATACAGATCCTCTCATCAGGCTATAACAACAGGATGCACTCATTCCACAGATGATCCAGAAAATGTTTACCCTGGTTTCTACCACAGGTGAATTAGGGGTGAGAAGCACTTAGCAGAGGCTGCGGTGAGGGCTAAACAAAGCGTCTCTCGAAATATAGTTACCCCAAAATGTATTCATTAATGAATTTCCTAGGCCTGGGGCAACTTTGAACCTGTTCTATGTTTTTAATTGCCTCCTGTGGCGTTTAAATGTTTCATAATGTAGAGAGGAAAAGAAAAAGGATGCACCTGCAAGGGGCAGGAAGGAGGAAATCCTATTTGCTGGTGTTTGATGCTCATCTTGGTCCGGACCTTGGGCAGGTAGAGTGAGACCTGTGCTTGGGGGACCCCAGAACAGCAGCAAAGGGAGGTCAGCAGTGTACGTGAGTTACACGTCTATGGTTTCGGATAACTAAAAACCAAAGCACCTAACCAGACATCATCACGCACAGGACCCTACTCCCAGCATTTGGGAGGTGGACGGAGGGAGGTCAGGAGTTCAAGGCCATCTTCCTTGGCTCCACAGTGAGTCTGAAGCCAGCCAGGGCTGCCCAAGACACTCATTCTTTTACATTTTTGCAGAAGGCAGATAGCAGGTGCTCTTTGGCAGATGTTCAAAAGCAAGAAGAAGAACTGTTTCTGTGCAGCCAGTAAGTGGTAAGCAGGAGTTCTGGAAGTAAGGAAGAATTTAGAAGGCTCATGGACAATATCCTGAACGGCCAGGACCCCAGAATCGGTAGATTCTGGGAACAGATTGTGAGACATGAATTTTTTTTCCCCACTCACCTGAGATAATAGCGGACTTATTTTTCCCATCAATCACTTGGCTTCTATTCTGCAGTAAACACCTTAAAGCAGGATGATTGCTATGACAAAGTATTTCAGCCACTCCATGTACAAGCCTCTAAATACTGTATTGCCACTGAAAAAGAATTTTCTGTGAAGTGCAAGGCAGCCAGCAGTAGGCTGGGAATCTTTCAACTGTCCAGTGAACCTATGTTTTCTGTAGAAACTCTAAAGCCTTCCATATTTGGGGGGAGCCTTGCAGGCTATCAACACACATTTAACTCTGAAGACTTAAATTAAAATTTCTTTGCAGATAGTCTCTAATGTTCAAGGTAGGCTCAAGTTGTGTACTCTGTGACCTGCAGCCTTAAGTTTTCAGTAAAAATCCAAATAAAATTTCTGGAAACAATGACGATCATAGGACCCTAAGGAAGCCATAACGAAAGCATAACTAAAAAAAAAAAAAAAAAAAAAAAAGCATGTTTTGGATCTAGAAAGCTGTGGAAAGATGGTTGTTGTGTATGTTATAAGAAGGTAAGGAAATCTGGATCAAAGATTTGTCTTTGTAATTCACATTTGGACAGAAAGAGAAAGCAAGGCATGGGTGCAATGAGGGTCGTCAGATACTGTGGCAAAGTCTGTTTGTTCTGTGTCTCATCCTTCTCTGTCCCCTTGCTTTGTACCGAGCTCATCGTAGGCACATGGCAAGTATTTGCATGGGTGGGTGGGTGGGTGGGTGGATGGATGGATAGATGGATGGCTTTCCAATTGAATGCCTCACTTCTCTTTTCTCTAGTTTCAAAAACACACAGACAGGCTTAGAGACAGCACAAACAATAAGACCAACTCAAATTCCAGTGGCTCCCTCTGCCCATTTCTCTAGGACTGCAGCATTCTCTTTTCTCTGTCCTTGCAACTGGAAACCTGCCTTTTCCTTAATGCATCAACAGGGGGCAGCAGAGAAGAGAAAATGCAAGTTCCTGGCTCTGTGCTCTAAGCCGCTCTACCCCCAACCCCCTCCCAAACATCTCTAAGCAGTTTCCCCCAACCATGTACTTTTAAAGGTTAGGTGGGAGGTGCTGGGGAGGAGTAGAGGTAAAATGTTGAAAACCTAAATGTGCTTGCTCACTGTGTAGTCCACAGAATTTCTTAGATACAAATGTCTTTTTGACGTTCTAAGAGTAGCGGGTAATATGAAGAACTTCTCAATCATTTTGGAGGATGATCAAGAGCCCCCCCCCCCCACACACACACACATTGTTGTTGTTAGGTGTGTGTAGAGTACTAGGGATCTCACAAATGCTCGGTGAGTGCTCTACCAGGGACCCATCTCCTTAGCCACTTCCATCCCCTTGTCAGTTGTTAAGAATTCCTGGGAACATCTTGAGGAATGTGAGCTCTACAGGAAAGAAGTGCCCCCTTCCAGCAGATCCATTCCTGCCTTTATGAAGTTGATTATCTCAGCCTTGCCGTGTCTCCTCTGTTCATCAACAGAGACAGAATGGGAACTGTGGCCAGTGCCTTTTTCTGAGGGTAAACCATCTGAAGATGGAGTTTAAGAAGTACATTACCTAATCCTCACACCTGCCCCTTCTATTCCTGGCTGTTGCCAGGCCTGGGAAGGAAAACCAGCTCTCAAACTTCTGCTTTGGAGTTACCTACCTTGCCAGGGGCCTCTAGCTGGGGGCGTGGCTTTCTGGAATGTTGAGTCAGGTCACTCTGTTGTAAAGACAGGAGATTTGGGGGGCCTTTTTTTTTTTTTTCCCTGCATCTGATGCCACACTGCTGTCACGTGCTGCTTCCAACCTCGTTAATCAAGAGACTGTAGAGCTTGAATGGATAAATGGGCAAGTAGATAAGGCATCATCCCTCGATTCTCTTCTCCGGGCTGCTGTTGCTGTTGCCCTGGGGGACAGATCAGATCGTGTTCACGTACCACCTTCACAATTTTAACATGGCTTTCAATCCTTTATCCATTTTTTTTTTTTTATCTTAACTAACATCTTTTGAGAGAAATGTGTGTTAGGAAATCTTTCTACTCAGGCTAACATTTGCCGAAAAAGTATTTGCGGCTTCAGAGCTGTCCATACAACTGTTAATAGAAGGGCAAAGTAGGCCGGGCGGTGGTGGCGCAGGCCTTTTAATCCCAGCACTCGGGAGGCAGAGCTAGGCAGATCTCTGTGAGTTCGAGGCTAGCCTGGTCTACGGAGCGAGATCCAGGAAAGGCGCAAAGCTACACAGAGAAACCCTGTCTCGAAAAACAAAACAAAACAACAACAACAAAAGGGGGGGGGGCAAAGCAAAGCAAAGAGACTTGAAAAGAGCCTTGAGGATTCAGGAGAATCAGGTGATGGGAGCTAGGGAAATGATCTTCAGCCAGAGAGCTGTAGCCCCGTTTCCCCACCCCCTTTTTGTCACCAGTTCCACCTACCATCTTGAAGTTTAGGGGAACCCCATGTAGGCTGCCACGGAAATTGGTGTCTCCTCTTGGGACCTTGATCATATTAATGAAAGAATTTAAGAAACAGACTCATTAGGACACTCAAGGACAAATTTTGTTAGCATTTGAGAGAAAGCAACAAGAGCAGGCGAGCTGTGAATCTCCGCAACCGGGCAGAGGAGGAAGATGGAGAAGATAAAGAGATGAAGTGATGCTGTGTGAGTCAGGCCAGCAAGTTCAGCAGCAGAGGCTTGGCAAACAGCTAGAGATAGCGAGCAGTCACGTGATAGTGCGCAGCCACGTGATCGCGAGCAGCCACATGACGGAAGAGAGGTATTCTCAGAGAATGAGTGAGGGAGATCAAAGTGCTAGAGAAAGCGTAAGTAGACTTTAGCTAGGATCCGAGAGGAAGATAGGAAAGAAAAAACAAACGGTATGCTTCTCTGAGTTGGGACAGACGTGGAGAAGCTGCGCCAAAGTGATTTTGTAAGAGACGCACTGAGGGGCATTCTAGAAAGAACAGGTATATTATCTCACTAAAGGAATCATTATTCTTCCGTTTCTTTCATTACCATGGCTTTAGGAATTACAGCCTTTCTGAAAAGAGGTCTCTTAGCCAGGTGATTGACATACCCAAATGGATTAAGTAGTTATCATTTTTATTTTATGCATATGAGTGTTTTGGGTGTGCACACTGTGTGTGTGAACTGCTCGTGGATGCCTGAAAACGACTTCAGATTTACTGGAACCGAGTTAATCGAGTTGTGAGCTCCCATGTAGGTGATGGGAACAGCACCCAAGTCCTCTGGAGGACCAGTAAATGCTCTTGATCGCCGAGCCAAGAGATGGTAGTATGAAACGTTCTAGTATTTGGAGCCAATCAGAAGGTCATGTCTCTACCCAGGACCAGACATCCTCTATTCTTTTGACCGAGCTTTAATGAGTGTCAAAGCTGATGTTTACTTTTCTAGCGTTACCAGGGAAACAGGGGTTGGGATCCAAGGTAGCAATGCCTCTAAGGCTACTGTAGCAGGACAAGCAAACTTGGCAGGAAACAAGATCAGAAGTTCCACTCACTCTTCCCCCTCGGCCCTAGGTTAGAATATCAAGTTATCAGTGCAGGCTCTTGCAAGCCTATCTGTTGATGAGGGGGATGGGGTATGTTAGCTGGCAGGCTATTGCAAGCCTACCCCTTGGCTAGAGGAAGGTATAGATAGGTTCTCTGGCAGGCCCAGAACATTGCTCTTTCCCAGAAGAACACTACAGGAATATTGCCAAATTGAGGACACTTGGCTTTGGGCAAACATGTAGCCACTTCACCCAAAGTCGACATGTGTCTCGTTGTCTTAAAGGTGAGCAAACTGAACTTACAAGGATTATTTAATTTTCCCAAAGTCCGAAAACAAGGATCAAACATTAGAATGTATGTTGTCTTGCCGTTGTGTTGTTTTTTTTTTTTTTTTTAAGTGTTACTTTCTACATCCATGGAACTCTTGGCAGTAATATCAGCTGTCGTTTACTGAGGAGCACTATGTTCAAATATTGGCTTAAATCCTGCTTACGCATTAACTCACTTAATCCTCTTGTGAACCCTAGGAGATGGATGGGTATCATTATTATCCCATTACAGAGATGAGGAATCTGGGCATAAAGAGGCTCCAGAGTTACCAATGGTAAAGCTATTATGAAAACCGAGTCCCAGAGTCTGCCTTCAAACCACTTGGCAACAAATAAAGGCAAAGTCTAGGTGGGATTTCATGATGCAAACCCTCTCCCCTTCATCCTGTTCTTCTGGACAGGGTTCAGCAAAAATTTAGTGATCAAGGTGGCCATGACCTTGCCTCAGCACTTAGAGACTATTAATTGGAGAAACAGAGCAGTGAGTTATTACAACACTCCCCACTGAAGTCTTGCTGGCAATACAGCTTTGGGAGCAGAGAGAAGGGATGCTTGTCCCGTCCTGGAACACAGGAGAACAGTGAAGGCTAGAGTACCTGAAAAATAGGAATGGGTCGGGAACAACGAAGAGAGAAAAGCACGTGCCACCTCATCATTCCATTCTGAGTACCAGAAGGTATAAAATACAGCTGGGCTTCACAGAAACCCCAAACCAAGATTATGTTCATGGGACCATGGAGTTGCAGCTCCTTCCCATTGCCTCTGAAATCACCTTCATATCTCCTGGTTTTTTTGCATGTGTATGTGTATATGGTATATATACACACATATATATGTGCATGTATATATGTGTATATATATGCATATATATATATATATATATATATATATATGCATGTTCACAAGTATGTGGATGCACATGAATGTGGAAGTCCAAGATTGACATCAGGGTCTTCCTCACTCACTTTTCACCTTATTCATTGGGGCAGGGTCTCTCACTGAACCCAGAGCTTGCCAGTATGGGCTAGCGAGCTTGCTTCAAGGATGACATCTTCGTCTTCTGAGTGCTGCAATAACAGGTGAACCACTATACCTGTCCTATGAGTTCTGAGGGTCCAAAATTCTAGTCCTCATGCTCATACAGCAAGTACTTTACTGACTGAGCCGTCCGCCCAGCTTTAACTTCTCGTATTTTGCATGGCTTTTCTTCTGGCTCTGGTAAAACTCTAGCATCTGTGAGCTTGGGTCTTCTATGACCAAACAATCAATTAACTCAAATGTTCGCCATTGTAACAAGTACAATAGAGTGGCCCCAACCACCTCCATTCTCTCTTCCACCCCACTAGAAAGAACAGAAATCTGCATATCCCAGACTTCCTTGCCACAGGTTTCCAAGAATCAGTTAGCTGCACCTGCATGAAGGCAGGGATGATTGACAGAGGAGCTTCTGCTAGCCTCCAGGACCAGACAGACCTGGGTTTTTCTGATGCTTTCTAGCACATATAGCTTCCTATGAACACAGTTTTGGAAGCAGAGATAGTCTAGTCCTGAAATAAAGCAATGAATTTATGTATTCTCTCTCTCTCTCTCTCTCTCTCTCTCTCTCTCTCTCTCTCTCTCTCTC